TTTTGTTGCAGGCTGACTTGTGAAGGTGACATCTTGAGGGCCCTTCAAAAGATACATGAAGACACGTTATCAACATACAGTTATTTGTGATCAAGCTAGGAGATAGTATGTACTTCATTTACGCATTGTCTAGATACCCTTGCTGTTCCCGCAAGCTTGATGTAGTCGGCAATGGCGACCTGAAGATCATCTGCTTCCGCCTCATCTTCTTGAAAGGTTGGGGCGCCAACCCTTGAGCCGTTGATTTCATGTACCTTGACTAGGACTTTCCTCAGCAAGTTTGTGGAGGCATCCTAAAGAAGGGAGAAAAAATTCAGGAGGTGAGGGTGAAACAAACAAGCTTCTAATGAAACCAAAAGTACTGTCCCAAAAGGTACTTACAAAAGTACTGTCCCAAAAGTGCTGTAGAAGTGAGTAGTCAGCTCAGTTGTTACCTAGGTAACTAGTTATTGTGCGATAAACTGAACTTGTTTGAATATCGTTCAGTTTGGTTTCTATCTAGTTTCAGGAGCCTGAAAAATTGTCCCAAATTCAGTTCCCATGACACACACACTGACTGACTGACTGAACCATGTTTGCAGGATTGTCACACACTGACTGAACTAGCTAGCTGACCAAAAAAGTTTTAGCTGCATGTCCATAGTGCCACTACTGTATATTCATCACTTAACTGAAGAGACACTGTTAAATAAAAATCATCAATAACCTTCGCATTTGGCGAGGTCTGTTGCGCCGCAGGAGTCGCAGCAGCCGAGCTGCAACGGCAGGCCCAGCGCCCGGTTTGTGGACGAGACTTGCCTGCTCCCCGCGCGTGTGCCCATCCGTGCTCCCGCATACGTGGCTTGATTTGATTGGAACAAAATAAGACCCGGTCCCACCCCCTTAAAATCAGGGGGATGATTAGATTAGAAAGAAAAAAGAAAAAAGACAGCCACAGAATGAAGTGAAAGTACGGATGGGAGCATGGGGAGGGAGCAGGCAAGCCGCCAGCTGGCTCGGGTGCTTCACCGGATACTCCTCGCCCTCACCTGCAATGCAATCATTAATTAATGTTGTTAATTGCTTTCTTTTTGTCCTCGTGTATGCAACGCAAGATGAAGAACAAGGAGGAGAGGAGATGAAGACGCCATGGTTGTTGGAGGTGGGCAGAGTAATTACCATCTCCATGTTGGAGGCGATGGCGAGCCTGATGCAGGTGACGGTGCCCTCGGCGACGAATGCAGGGTCGTCGCCCGTCTCCGTGGTTGCTGGCGCCGCCACAGTGCTCGGGGACCGATGGATCGGTAGATCGATCGATGTGATGAAGCGCGCGGCTGGCCGGCGGGAAGAAAGTTGGGTGAGAGCGAGGGAGCTGCGCTGAGCTAGCCAGTGGTGTTTGTCACTCACCAGGAGAGATTGAACTCCACTAATATAACCCCAAGTAAGGTAGTGCACCCAACACGTTCGTACGTTGGGAATATGACATGTGCATCATGTTAGAAATATGAGCAATTTACCGAATAATTTTATTAACAGAAATACTAGATAAAGCATGACTAGTATAGCAGTGATAAAACAAGCCATGCGATTTGAAAAAGAGAAAGTAAATAATATCTGCATATATGAGCTAGAACCAATCATCTCTAGAGCAGACAGTAGATCAAGAAGCATATATGAAATAGAGCCTAACATGTCTAGAGCAAACATTAGAAGAAGGAACTGTTGCAGGACTTCTAACAGGAAAGATAAGAACACGTACTGGACAGCAGCCGGGGCAGAGGCACTGGACTTGGGGTCGGTGTCCTCCATGTCGTCGAGGAGGTAGTCGACGTCGGGGAAGTAGTCGTCGGAGTCCGGGGCGTCCGTGACGAAAAAGTCAGTAGTCGCGCAGAGCGCTCCCCAAAAGCCTTATCACCCTTCTCCCGTACAGGACTCAAAAGGTGCGGTTTCAGAGGCCTACTGTCCCGACCTGCGGTGCACGCCGCAAGCTGGGATGGGGAAGAACGTAGCAGCAGCGCAGTGCTCAGGAACTTGTGGCGAGAGGAGGAAGAGATTCTGATGCGTCTCTCTGAGAGGAGTGACCTCCCTTTTATAGGCGCAAGAGAAGGAGGCGAGAGGCTGTGCTGGGAGCTGAAGAGAACGAGGGAGACGAAAACGTTTCAGCTTTCGCGTGACCTTTCGTATACCTGTAGTGCGTGACAAAAATTTAGACATCGGCTCGGCTCATTCCCGCAACCCGCGGCGCGTCGTGACGAGGCGAGGCGGGCGGCGGAGGAGGAGCGTGCGTGGATGTCCCTCTTGTTCTCATGCTCATACAAGTGGGGAAGGAGCCTCCCTTATAAAGAGGTCCAACTCCCTCTAAACTAGCAAGATGAGACTAAATTTTAGTTCCACCTTTTGCCTTGCACGATTGGACTGCGTGGGTCTCTAGGATTTATTAGGAATTTCTGAAACTGCTATTGGGCTAGGCCCAAATAGACAAAATTCCAGCACATCAGTGCATGCACACACTTCGATCGATATTTACCCAGTGAACGAAATGTAAAAAAAAAAGTTGATTCCATCTTTCTCTCCTGTCATGTTTTCCATGTTTTTTTTAATATCAGTATAGACGCAAGCGCTCATACATACGCGCATACACTCACCCTATGAACGCACACACGCACACCCTACCCCTATGAGCACCTCCGAGAGACTGAGCCGACATGTCATCTTGAAATTTAGCCTCGTCGTCGACGAGAACGTCTCCTCCCACTGAAAGCGCACCATCGGAAATTCTGAAATAAATTCAGAAGGACTTGAACCCTGGTGGGCTGGGGATACCGTTGTCCCTCTAACCATCCAACTACAGGTTGGTTCGCCACATGTTCCATGTTGAGATGCATGATATGGGTGTTGCAATTTTTTTATAAATGCGGAAAAAAAATTGGACGTTTCACACAAAACAAACAAATTAATTAAGGTGACGCCTAGTTCTTATTCCTCTTGATCATTTTTTTTTGCGGGGTTGAGAAGGGTCTTAAAAAAAGAAAGAGCACGGCCCAAAAAAGTACTTTGTGTGAACAGTAAAATCCCAAAAAAAATTAATAAACATTCAAAAAAGAATTCTGTTTTTTTAGCAAATCAGTGACAAATGTTCCGAATGCTGATTTCCATGAATGTTAGTCGATGATGAAACTTTGCAAGCATTAAGAACATTTGTCAATGTTGCTACAAATAGAATTCAGAATTTTTTTTCAATTTTTTTGGATTTTACTGTTCAATCGAACTCATATGAGCTAGAGCTCAAATCATTCGCATCCAGAACATGACATGTATATTCATGAGAGTGATGGTCAGAGGCAGTGACGGAT